TGTATATAGGACAACAGCAATACAGTATATACTGTATATATTGTATATACAAAGACAAAAACAATAATAAAGTAGTTATTGTACTTAGGATTTTTGGCTGGTATTCTGAGTCCAGATTACCTATGATGTCAATTACAGGCCTCTCTCATCTTTTTAAGTGGGAGAACTTGCACAATTGGTGACTGACTAAATAACTTATTTCCCCCACTGTATATAGGACAACAGCAATACAGTATATACTGTATATATTGTATGTACAAAGACAAAAACAATAATAAAGTAGTTATTGTACTTAGGATGTTTGGCTGGTATTTTGAGTCCAGATGGCCCATGATGGGAAGAAACAGTTTTTGAGTCTGCTTAAGCCTTCTGTTGGAGGGCAGCAGGCTGAGCAGGGGGTGACCAGGAAGAAGATGATCTTTAAAGTTCCTCTTCGCCCTGGAGAGACTGTGGGTGCTGGCGATATTACTTACCTTTCTGTTCTGTTTTGGACCAAAGTCATTTTTTAACAGTTTTTTTTTGCCTGAACTTTAAATTATTACATGTTGTATCAGCTAAATGTGAGTTTGCATGTATATCATGAAACTTTACTTTTTACAAAGTCATTTATTTAGAACATTCAGAAATGTTTTCAGGAGTGTTAGCTTGTCAAAGTAAGCTAAAGCTAACTGTCGCATTATCTCGTCTTAATGAAAAAACTTTCTCTCCTCCTGGCCACACCTCCTCGCTCACCCCCCCCCCACCCCACCTCTCTCAGAGTCTCCACTTTATGCATTTTTTCACATTTGCATTGGGGGCGGAGTTATCCTTTCACTAAGCATGCTTGGTCAGAATCTCCAGTGATGATATGAAGTATTGGGACGGCTGTGGATTAGGGCGGCTGTGGCAAAGTGGTTAGGGGAGTCTTCCTGGATCCGAAAGGTCACCGGTTCGATCCCCTGTCCATCTGTCTCAGTTGTTGTGTCTTTGGGCAAGATACTTAACCCCTAATGCCTCTGATGTGTCCCATCAGTGTATGAATGTGAATGGCTCTGATTAGTCTCCATAGATGATTGTACATGTTAGCTTTGTAGGAGATCTGGTAGAGCGCTGTGTGAATGGGTAAATGAGGACACAGATTGTAGTGTGAAGCACTTTGAATATTCTGGTTGGGTAGAAAGGCTCTATACAAGTACAGTCCATTTACCATTTAACTCCCATCAGGGTAGATTTGCTGCAGTCTGTTGACCATGTTTTGTAGATATTCGAGAGCTAAGCTAATGTTAGCATCTGGTGAGRTAAAGACAGAGGTGAAGATTACTGTTGTTAGCTCTCTGGGCAGATAAAAAGATGTGCAAGCAATAGACATTGCTTTGATATTATGAGAGCAGTTTGTGTTTTTTATCTTGCTATTTGTGCACAAGTTGTGAATAAATATAGACAGTCCCCCGCCTCTGYCCTTATTGGAGTCTTTGTTTCTGTCAKGATGATGGACAGTGCGTCCTGCGAGCTGTAATGTAGTATCTGGGATCAGCGAGTGTAACCAGGTCTCTGAGGATCAGTTCATTCATCTTGGTCAAAACAGTCTCAGGTCTGGACTTCTGGTGTCATGGTGACCAATATGGTAGCATAGAAAGGTGATCCTGCATCGATAGATATACAGTAAAAGCCCCCCAAATTCAAACTCGGTGGAACACGCACAGCTGAAGGAGAGATGATGGAGGGTGAGGCCTTGCAGGATCTTCAATCACAAATGAGGAAGGACTTTCACAAGTGAGAACAAAAATAAAGGAGGACATTAAAGTCCAACTGAAMGAGCTTACAAACGAAATAAAATAACAGGTTAGCGCCACCACCAACAAGATTGAGGAGGTGACTGAATATGTTGGAGAAATGGAGAGGAACATGGCGGAGAACGAGAAATACAGTAGGACAATGGAGTGTGAGATGTTATCGTTCAGCTGCTAAACAGCCAAAAGTTGCTTCAGGAGAAGGTTACAAATTTGGAAGGACGGTCACGCCGGAACAATTTATGGATATATGGCATCCCTGAAAATGCAGATGGCCCCTCCATGCAGAGGTACGGTATGTGGAAAACATGATTATAACAGAGCTCAGGGGTAGTGTGGATCTGGACAGGAAGAAGAGTCTGGGGATAGAGAGAGCCCACAGAGCCCTGGGGGTGCAGCCACTGGCAGGTGCACCACCTCATTCAACAGTGGTACACTTCCTAAAATTTAATATCAAAGACCAAATCCTCCGCGCTGCATGGAAGAGGCCTATTTACATACAAGAGAGGCACCTTTTTTTTTTTACCACACCTGTGCTCAAAACTGATGAAGAGGAGAGAGTATGGCCTTGTTAAGAAAGTACTCAAGGAGAATGCTTTCCAGTTCCAAACCCTGCTGACCAAAATGTGCCTCCACTTTGATTCAGGCTTGGTCACTTACAGCAGCRCGGAGGAAGCAGCGGTGGATTAAGGAGATGTGGATTCAGTGGGACCGGTGTCTGCAAGCAAATCCATCACAGTGTCATCACAGTGGAGACAATCAACAATCTTCTGACAATGAATATAGTGGGAGTGCAACACGTTTGAGCGCAAGGTCTACGAGCGAGTGCATGGGAGAAGCTAAAGGTGTTACAGCAAGAGGACATTACCATGGATGAATAATTTTCTGTTTATTCCTTCTGAAGATTTACCTGAACATGTCATGAATTAAGCCTGTTCCCTGCCAAGTCACAGCCAAGCCTTCACTCATTGTCTCACCCCTCCCGTCACAGAAATTTCCAATCAGCGTCATGTCACTCACCTGTTCACAGCAGTATTTAAACTCCACTCTCCCACATCACCAGTGCCAGATTTATGAACGGTTTTTCCTAGTAGTTATCCAGCATCCATGTCACGTCTTGCCTGCCTCGTTACGACCTTGTTTTTGCTCTCTGGATTCACGCCTCTTGCCTCATCCCTTAATGGTACTGTATCGGACTCTGATCTCCTGGTTTTGACCCAYGCACTCTTCTCTGGACCTCCGCCTCCCGTCGCTTCGCCTGTCGGATCTGTTCAGTCATCTGTCTCCCGGATTCTGACCCACGCCTGTGTACACCGACCACGAGTAAAGTCCAGTCCTCAGTACCTGTCTCTGATCTCTGACCACATGTGTAAAACCCAAGCCTGCCTCACGGAAAAACCCCGAGTTCGTAAACTCACTCAAGCCTCGCAACCCGGAAGTGCTTTCTCCGGACTTCATCCAAGACTCTCAAAGTCTTTTAAGAGTACTGTTGGGACGTCCTGTACTCTAAAAAGGTCAGTGGCTAAATCTTCTACTAAATCTGTTCTTGTGAACGTTCTAGCCACTAACCTAATTCTCTCCTGTGTAGAACTCCTGATTCCTGTGACGTTTGCTTCCAGATCCAKCTGTTTATATTTTAATAAAAACATTAAAACTATTCTGGTGTCTGGCAAGTCAGTGAAACTCGTACACTCAGTCATTACAGAACACCACATATTGAGAGTTTGGGACCAGCTTTGTATTGTTCAGAGYGGTGCTGGGGGCTGTGGCTGTTTCATTGTTATGACAAGTTCAGTCATTGTGTATTTGTGTTCATTGTGTGTTTTGAGGGCTGGGAGTAATGTTATACAGGTGYAGGAAAAACATCATGCTGCTGCTGACTGATCCTTGATAGGATGTAAATGTAAGCATTATCTATAGGTAAAAAATTAATTTGTTTCCTTTTTATCACTTTTATGCTGGATTGCATCAATTCTAACATAGCCACTAAGGAAGCCTCACTAATGTGAAACGTAAATCTGTTCTGTGTTTGATTACCTTGATTTTCTCAAGGACATGGATGTGTGACACAAAAAAATAATTTTGGAACTGAAATTGAATTGTAGAACTCAAAGTGATAGTAGTCAAACTCAATCTTCAATACAACAGCTTACAGTTTGAAAGAAAAATTAATTCAGATTCAAAACTTTAAATTCAGTTTAGTGAAATTAATTTTCAAAACAATGCGYTTGATTTCACATTAGGCCTATACAGATTCATTCTGAGCAATTCAAATTCAGTTTCTGTTGGAAGTTTGTTTCCATAGAACTGACTGGTTGTGTTTGTTGCAGGCACAAGAAAACATTTCAGATGAAATGTAATGTTWTTGAAGAGAAGCTGCGAAAAGACCCCCGCCTAGCCCCCTACTTGGACTGCAAAACCAGACCTTAGTGCCACCTCAACAGCTGAGCCTAATCCTAATTCATAGATTTTTATTTGTGTGTATTGTTTTATATTGTTCTATATTGGCTAAATGTGTCCTGAATCATCCTTGTACAGGAAGACTGGACCTCAGTAGGTTTTTAATCTGCGTAAAAATTTAAGCTGTTCTGTAATTTTAAGATGAAATGTTGGTAAGTTGTTTGAATTTTCATTCAGGTCTTTCTGTTTTTACACTGTGTTTTGATTAATGTTTCTAATGAATACATTATCAACAATAAAAAAAAAGAAAAATGATGTTGTTGTTGTTGTTGTTGCAGTAAACAATTATAACCAGGACACTGAAGTCAAGTTGACAGCTAGCTTAGGGATTTTTATTTTAAGTAGCAAATCACAGGTCACGGACAGTCTGAATAGAGACAATCCCCGAACAAAGGATCACTCAGCCTATACAGCTTTTACGCACGTCATCTGACAGGAGTTCTGCCAGAAAACGTGGGGTCTTTCACATACACACTCTTTGAAAAACATCTCCCATTAGATATAGTTGGACTCACCTCGACGCACCGGTCTGGCTCTGGAACTAGTCTCCTCGAGAGGGGCGGACACTCTTTCACTCTGGATTTGCCCATGCTGAGAGGCGCTGAGCTGGAGTGGGCAAACTTATTGCCCCCCATTTTGGTCCCTGTACGTTGGGGTTCACCCTGGTACACAAGAGGGTAGCCTCCCTTCACCTACATGTGGGGGTATGGGTTCCAACTGTTGTTTGTGCCTATGAGCTTAACAGCAGTTCAAATTACCCACCCTTTTTGGAGTCCTTGGAGGGGGTGCTGGAGAGTGCGCCTAACGGGGACTCCCTCGTTCTGCTGGTGGAATTCAATGCCCACGTGGGCAATGACAGTGAGACCTAGAGGGGCGTGGTTGGGAGGACACTCGGGTGAAGAGGGGGCGGAGCTGTCAACTAACCACTGCCTGGTGGTGAGTTGGCTCTGTCGGTTGAGGAGGATGCTGGTCAGACCTGGCAGACCCAAACGTATAGTGAGGTTCCGGGGGAGGTGGGGGACATTGAGTCTGAGTGGGCCATATTCCGTACCTCCATTGTTAGGCGGCTTACCTGAGCTGTGGCCGTAAGGTTGTCAGTGCCTGTCATGGCAGCAACCCTCAAACCCGCTGGTGGATACTGGTGGTGAGGGATGCAGTCAGGCTGAAGAAGGAGTCCTATTGGGTCTTTTTGACCTGTGGGACTCCGGAAGCAACCGATAGGTATTGGCAGTCCAAACTGTAAATTGACAGTTTTTCATTCTTGTGGTAAATGGTATGTATATGGACTGTACTTATATAGCGCCTTTCTATCCATCCAAGACACTCAAAGCACTTCACACTACAGACAGTCACCCATGCACACACACATTCACACACTGATGATGGTAAACTACAATTGTAGCCACAGCTGACCTGGGGCACACTGACAGAAGCGAGGCTGCCATGCACCGGCGCCACCGGACCCTCTGACAACCATCAGTAGGCAATGCGGGTAAGGTGTCTTGCCCAAGGACACAACGACTGAGTCAACTGGACGGGGATCGAACCAGCGACCTTCCAGTTCCAGGACAACTCCCCTAACCACTCTACCACAGCCGCCCCCGTCAAGTGGATTGCACCTCGGGTACTGACTGAGGCAAAAACCCGGGTATGAGAGGAGTTCAGAAAAGATATGGAAAAAGACTTTCCACCATCTGGTGCCTCAGTGGGGGAAAATGGTTCGCCACCAACAGTGTTTATGGTAGGATGGTGCGCTGCTGACCTCAGCTCGGGACATTGTAGGTCGGTGAGCAGAATACTTCGAAGACCTCCTCAATCCCACTGACACGTCTTCCCATGAGGAAGCAGAGCTTGAAGACCCTGGGTCGGACTCTCCAATCTCTGGTGCTGAGGTCACCAAGGTGGTTAAAAGGGCGCCAGGGGTGGATGAGATTCACCCGAAGTTCCTTAAGGTTGTGGATGTTGTGGGGTTGCATTGGTTGATGTGACTCTACAATATGGCGTGGACATCGGGGGCAGTTCCTCTGGACTAACAGACCGGGGTTGTGGTCCCCCTATTTAAAAAGGGGGACAGCAGAGTGTGTTCCAACTATAGGGGGATCACACTTCTAAGCCTTTTTGGTAAGGTCTATTCAGGGGTCCTGGGGCCTCATGTATCAACCAACGGTGCATACGCACAAAAGCCTTGCGTTGGTCATTATCCATACAAAACTCCGGATGTACCACTGTATCAGTCCACCCAAAGCAGAGTCATGACCAATGGAATCGTCTCATTCATATGATTCTAAAGGCTGCGTTGTGGTCGCGCTCTGGAGCGCGCACACCCTCGCCGGCAGTGGACGTGTTTCATACTTGGCATTTATGTTGTTGTAGATTTCTCCAAAATGACACGTGGAAGTACACTTTGCAACTTGTGAAAATGCTGTAAGTAGGAGAGCATAAGCTTGACAGACAAACAGACTGTGCACAAAGGCTGGGACATGCGCAGCGTTTGTGGGGACTCTCCAACATCACGTCACGTCATGTGAACTCTACTGAGACGCAGAGACTCGTTTCTTCATATCAGCTATGAAATAAACTAAGATCTATGTTCTACCAAACATTGAAGTTCCTCTGTGTTTACAGTAATTATGGTAATAAACTCATACCCAAA